AAGACTGTATTAATCGTGATCGGCGTTATTCGCGGAAGGATCTCGTATCTGTGTTTATCCCCCCCCCCCTCCCCCTTTCTATATGACCCCCACTCCCCTTCTCATCCTCTTTCCACTCGTTTGTATTTTTTACGTTACTTTCCTCGCGTGAATTTTCTATATTTTATACGGCATGTTTATATTATTATTGTTGATAATTTTCTGCGAACGACCGCCGACAACGATGCTCGATGAATTAATTAGTTTTTCCTTTTTTACTGCCGCCGCTCAAACGTTTCGTAGTTTTGCTCAGAGTGAAAGGGAGTCATTATAAAGATCACACGTCGAGTAGTGAGACGAGTTGTGTACGATTTAACGTTTCTTTCATCAACTGTCGGACAGGCGTGCTCATTTATAACGTTTCGATGTAAATACAATCTTTTTCCTTTTTATCTTTTTCTTTTCTTTTCTTATTTTTTTTTTTTCTTTTTCTTTTTCTTTATACGCAAACGTGGAACACTCAATCCCCACGATATTCAATAGTCACGATGTGCACCGTTCCGCAGTTGATTTACTGTAACATACCACGAGTGCCTATAATAACGATGCTGAATCTTCTATCCCGTAATCCGCAGTGAAGTTGCAGATATTTCAACAGCTCGAGATTAAAAGCACGCGTTTATCGAGAGAGAAGACGGTGTTTCGAGAAGGAGAGGAACCCGTGTACTTTGTAAATAACGAATGCGTTAACTCGTGATCGGTCATACGTTTGTGATCACGAAGAGGATGCCACACGGACCGTGCGTACGTGGTGATCGTCGCAAGGTTCTTACTCGCAAATTCCAAATAATCTTTTATCTTACGATTACTTGCCCACGAGGAAACGTTACCTTCGACTACGGCGACCATGAATCGATATTTGTACATAACTGCACCTTTCTTTTTTTTCTTTTGCCAAAAAGCACGCTACTCGTGCCGATGAAACTATGGCGCAGATATCGAAGGCGTTAACGAGCATCGGCCGGAGAAGGAACTTCTACTAATAACATTTTTCAACCATCGTGTCTCCTCTTATATACTTGTACCCCTGAAATAGCTTCTTTGAGGACGTTTCGAATACAGTTCCTATACAGTATGGTAAAGCGACTTAGAGACTCGGTCGGCCGTTGTCCACGATAAACATGATTCCAAGACGAGTTTTCATCCTTCTTTCTCCGGCTGTACGGAGATATAAGTATTTAGATCTAAGGGACATATCCACAGCGTGTAGTGTACTTGTATATGAATACCGAAATAAATATTTTCAATGTTTTTGACAATATTCGATGATGCTTTCTTCGTCATTACATTCCCATATTCCCATCGAAATAGCACTCCAAGCGAAATAGAATACGTAACATGTAAAATAAAAAAGCGTACGTTTATCGTATCTAAGAAATCATATATTTCATACGAAACATAATAAATGTAAAGATAAAAGTTGCTAATACATACCCAAAAGGGTACACGATAGGTTTATGATACCTATAAATATAGTGACACTATGCAATAATGTGAAAAAAATATAAAAAATATATAAAGTTCATTTGTACAATTTTAAAATGTCGAATCGTGCAGGAATTGGATTTCGAACGAAATGTGATTACAGTCAGCGCTGCTGATGAATCTATGCTAATTGTCTAAAAAATATTTGCGTAAGAAAGTAAAAGAAGTACTGATAGTTCGGCGTCATTGATGCTGAGTAAGTGTTGCGAAGAGTGATACAATCCACGCTCCATTTTGCTTCAACAATCGTATAATCTTTTTACATGCTTGTTATCTTCTTGAAATTGTGTCCTTGTAACGATTCCAAGACTTTTTCATTGACAATTCAATAGACGGGATAACAGCTCTGTTATTTTCATTTTAATTTAATTACGAGGATTATTTTCGCTTTTTGCATTTGGTTCTACCTCGACGTCTGCGCGATGAATTTGGACGAGTATCTGCCTTCTTTGAAGATCTATAAATAGTTTGTACGTTAATCACTTATGCTAATTGAAATTCTCAGAGAATTCCTTACCTGTGAACCCTGTTCACTGACACGGAAGTGTGTTTCTTTAAGGTCAAGTGCTGTTGAACCAATTCCGCTAATTTACCTTGTTGAGCAAGCATCGAAAGGAAGGTACAGATAAACTCGTCGTAATTGTGCGTTCTACGACAATCATCGATCTGAAACAAAATCAAATGTCCTTATAATACTACATATTTTAAATTTTATCAGAGTATATCTGAAAACATATTTACCTTGTACTTGTTCCTTTTGTCATTTTCATCTTTCAAGCTGGTCTCACAAATACTAATTTCGTGTTCTAAATTTTTCAATAACGCTAGGAGGTCCTTGGGTGCGAACGTATGCGGTTCGAACAATTCCGGATATTTTGAACATAATTTCGGATCAATCTTTTCGACCTTCTTCTCTTCAATAACAGTGTCCCCGTTACTAGTCTTTACTCTGGCGTGAGGTATTCTAACTTCTCCCGACAGACAGACTTTCTTATGTAAGTGACCACTGTCGGATACTAATCTTTTACCATTTATATTAATGTTTCCAAGAGAACGACCTACTTATGGACACAGATTTCATGTACTGCTATCATACTGTATAAAGAGATACAACAGTGTGGAAATATAATGAAACAATTGGCCACATACGTACTTAAACCCGCTTCATTTTTCTCATCCCCAGACACTCTAATCACGACAAATTTTTTGAAATCTTTTGTCGACGTTGGACTGCTCTGTCCAGAATTCCATCCCCATGCTATAAACCAAGGGGTTTATTTACTACGAAGAAGCATCTGTTTTGCTCTTGTTGCATGAACGTGATCGTGTTATAACAATTTTTCTGATTGCGATTATGTAACAAGAAGCAGTAAGAAAGTGTTCAGCAAGGATAGGTCAAATAACTGTACCTCAAAGCTGTCAAAAGAGACGAAATATGGGGGAATGTGCGAAAGTCAAATAATACCATCAAGCACAAGAAGTTTAGTCCGCTATACAACAGCACGCGCGACAGTATAAGAAAATGAAGCTAATAATTTTTATTCTATATTCTGTTCTGATTGTGACAGAGTCATCAAAGTGTCCGGAATCACGGAAACCTCATTCCACTAGTTGCACCATATTTTACAACTGTGTGAATTTGCCTGGTGGCGGTTACGTTTGGGTACCCAGTAAATGTACCGAGAACTTGGTAAGATGAATATTGTGTTAACACGGTTAACAAGTACGCGTCTATAATTTTTAAAATTGGTAACATATTTCCATTGTTAGATATTTCAGCCATATTTAAGAATGTGTGTTCTGCCTGGTGATACCTGGACATGCGACACACTGTCGACAGAATCGTCTTTTATAACGAACAGGTATGATATCCCTGAATTGATCAATCCAAATGAAACTAGTTATATGGGATTCACGGAAAATCCATGGAATTTTTCTGAATTTATTGACTCGTCATATACTACTGACAGCATTCCCGATTATTCTGACCAAGAAACGGCAACTCCATACCCTTTGATTGAAATTGGAGAAACAATGGAACATAAATATGAATCAAACACAGATAATGCTTCTGAAAGTAATAATATACAAAATGATTATCTACAAACAGAAGATGATAATAAAAAATACTATTCAATGTTGAATCAATTGATACGTCATTTGTTGATATACAGAAAGATTACTATTCCATTAGAATTTTTAGCATCATCATTATCCACACCTTCCAGACCTGTTACAAACTTGCCATTATCTAATTATCTTATACAGAATTATATTCAACAAAATAATCATTTACAAAATACCATTATAACTGATTCCAAATTACAAAACACAACTAAAAGTAACATAACTTTAAAAGATGATAAAGATGAATCAGCCACAGGCAACCCAAAAAATTCGTTAATACTTGATAACTTAGAACATGAAAGCTATATAATTTCAATTACTGACAATATTGGAAATAAGCAATATTTGACTATTCAAAGATATAAATCATTGGCTTATAATTTGGATTCACAATTTGTTCAGATTATTCCATGTATAAAAAATGCTCGAATGCCAAATACAACCAACTGCATTAAATATTATGTTTGTGAACCTGAAATAGCCTCTATAATAGAATATACATGTCCACTATTTACAGCATTCAACAAATATTTAAAAATATGTAACACAGAAGCTTACAATAAGTGTATAGAAAATAAAAATAACAAAGAAAATGTAAATTTACCAGGAGGTGCAGACAATATATTTCAAACAAATATACCAAACAAGAATATTTGTACAGAACATGGAAAAACAAAAGATCCAATATCTGAATCACGTTACTATATTTGTTATGCAGCTTCAGATAATTCCCAAAATATCAAAGCTATACAAATGACGTGCCCAAACGACTTAATATTTTGTCAAAGTAAAAAAGTTTGTACAACAAAATATCTCTGTAACACTATATGAAACATGAATGTTTTCTTACTTACCTTGTGTTGGAGAGTTAAAAGCAGATCCAATTTCGGACGATGTATCGGTACTGGACGAACTGTGTGCTGGTGAAGTTTGAATTCTGAGAGGAGTAGCATAATCCAGGGCACACATTACTACCTTTTCCATACCACTGAAATGTTTATATATGTTATAATTTCACTTACAAAATAAAGTAGTTTATATCTATGAAAGTCACCTTATTTACTTTTTACCTACTTAGATTCAGTCTTCCCAGAAGTAATACTTGAAGCTGGTTCTTCAGTATCTGTAGTAGAATCACTGCTTCTTTCAACTGTAATAGCTGGTACTGATGAAGATTCATCAATTTCTGATTTATTGGGTAGAGCATTTTCCTCGTCAATTTTATTCTTTTTTTCATATGATTTATCTGATTTCTCTGAATCATTTGAATTTTTTTCTGTCCCATCTTGAAGACTTAATTTAACAAGCTGTTGTAATGCTTCTAATACTATCTGCCTATTAGTTTTCAACATAGTTAATTTATGTGAAATAGCGAGTCGCCGATCAGGAACAACAGCCATTAGATTAAATCTTATATCTTGCAATTGTTCCCCTGTTGCCATTCCTAAACGGTCTGTAATTACCCTTCTAAATTGTTCAGTCCACTCTTCGTGTTCTTTCCACGGACCATGATCCATAGGATATGGCTTTAGACCATCCAATTCAAATAATCTACCATTAATTGGTACATAACTAACAAAATGAAAAGCTTCCCCAGTAAATCTACCAGTTGAAACTCCAGTATTTTTATCTTGACGTCTCTTGGCTTGAGGCATTGCATGCGAATTGTGAGCACAAGCCAATTCAGGTGTGTTACCAATTGCCCAACCTTTATTCTCTGGGCACATACCAGATGTATGCATTTTCAATCTGGATAAAGTTGTACCCAAATGAATATTTGGGCAATTAAGTAATACAGAAAGCAGTGCATGGGTTGCACAACTATTGGGCACAACCTATAAAATAATAGGTTATTCAAAGCACATATTCTTGTATTGTAAACATTACATATAAAATATGTATATAAAAGTTATTGTACCTGTTGTGCAAAAAATATATTGTTAACAATCTCTTCATCTTTCACAAAACTTTCATCTTGTTCTACAACTTTACGTCTAGACCTTCTTTCTTCTATCCAACGAAATAAAAATATAAAACCATACACTGGACCCTCCAATGATTTTTGCAAATCATATATTTCTTCTACTTGTACACCCTTTACTCCAAAATCTTCCAGTAACAATGTAAATAAACCTAGTAATAAAAAAGACAAAAGAATACGAGTATTTTAAATATACTATAACTTTGACATCATAAAACAGCAGAATCACTAATTTCTTCCCATTTATTATGACAATGCTAAAATATACATGTGGCATGTATAGAAGTATAATAAAACAAAACAAAAATATTTAAATATTACATTATGTAATACATATTAAACTTTATGTTTTTATTATAAAAAATATAAATTGTAGTGTTATATCAAAATAAACTACTATGCAGTTATAATGTATTCGGATAATTTAATGTTAGTAACTTTTAAAATGATATACTCTCATGATTGTTATTTTATACCTGGGTCACTTTCCAATTCTAGCCAACCTTCCGTTAATCGATTTATGTCAACTGGCATTCTGGGTTGAGTTTCAAGTCTAACATTTAAAAGAATTTTACATCCTTCTAGAAATTTTATTATTCCGTAACAATTAAAGGCGCCATATTACATCAAAACATATATCATGTGACCTAGTCACGTGGTGAATAAAAGCTTAAAAAAGTATTAAAGTAATTTTCAATAATTTTTTTACTTCTTTATTGTATATTAGATAATCTTTCAATCAAAACATACTTTTATTTGATAAAAGAAACAGATGGTTAGAAACACTTTTGTTTTAATTAAAAAAAAAATATATATATTGAAGTTCATACAAAACGAACATAAAATTTAATCCAATTAACAAAATTTTGTTATTAGTACATGATTTTGTACTCATTTTAAAAAAATGCATATTGAATGTATTTATTTTGATATGTAAATCTAGAAAGAAAAATATAATTTTATTCAAATAATTTCACCAGGTTGACAGTAGCGCATTCTATTAACAATTCCAACAAAATACTTTGAATGACATTTTAGCCACGTACATATGTCACTTAGAAATAATTTATGTTTTCCAGTAGTTCGTATTAACAACAAATAATTATTATGAATATTTTTATATTAATCATTAGCGTGTTGTTATTTATTCAATTATCAGAATGTACATTGTCACCACCTAAAGATAGAAATACCAAGAAAAATAAAGGAAAAGTTGAAACCAAGGTAGAAAAAATAACGTTATACAAATTTTGACAAACTGTAGATGTGTGATTAAATTTTGTATATGTTGGGATTACAGGAAAGTCCTATAGAACAAGACGTTTTTAGTAGACTTTTAGTAGTAAAGAATCCTAAGACACATGATATTATTCGAAAATCGGGTTATTATTTTTCTAATACAACTCGTCGACGATTCAGTGGAGAGGTTTTGGGATATATTACACCTGTAAGTCCAGGTTTTATGAAATATTGTTTTAATGAATATAACGTACATTATATGTAGTGTAAATATTTTGGTGAAAACATTAAAGACAAAATATTTATTTCCTTTAGTGGAATAACAATGGACTTGAAGTTTCCAAAATATTTCATGGGAAATTCACAATGTTATCGCCAGTGTGGTTGGCATTTTCAGAAGGCAATGCATCAACATATAAATTGTCAACTTATGATGTTCAAAAAAAGTGGTTGAAAGAAATTAAAGCAGCAAATAATAGGAGCCACTATGTAAAAAGTATATTAACTTTTTAATATAATATTAATCATTTCTTATAAGAAAATATATATAACTATATAACTATTGTTTATAGTTTTACCAAGAGTATTGTTTGAAAACTGGTCAGCTAATGATATTATTGAATTATACAGTGATACGAAAAGACAACTTAGCCTGATTTCTGCACTTACAGATACAGCAAAGGTACTAATAAAAATATATATGATGTATTAAATATTTACTGCTATATGTTCTATTATGATAAAATATTCTAGAATTTCCATTTTGATGGATATGTACTGGAAATATGGAACCAGTTTGTATTAACGGGTGTAGATGCACAGATTGTTGTAACAGTGATTCAATTTATTGCTCATCAATTGAAAAACAACAATTTGGATACAATTTTAGCAGTGCCACCTTCAAGAGGGTAAGTCTTTTTATTTTTATTATAATCAATTTATAAAATATATAATTTTCAAAGATACAAAGAATTATAAAGCATAATATCAAAGTACTGTATGTATTATTTATTTTTTAATTTTTTAGCCCATATAATCAATTATTTAACAGAGATCAATTTGATCAATTATCACCGTATTTAAAAGCATTCTCTTTAATGACTTATGATTATTCAAGCATTCAACGACCTGGACCTAATAGTCCAATTGATTGGGTAAGGGAATGTGTAGAATTACTAGTACCTGAAGAGAGCCCGAAAAGGGCTCAAATTCTGTTAGGTCTTAATTTTTATGGATACAATTATACACCTGAAGGAGGGAAAGCCATTTTAGGTTCAGAATATCTAAAAATACTTGAGTCCTCTAATGAGAAAATTCAATGGGATGATAACAGCAAAGAACACTTTTTCGTGGCAAAGTAAGATATAGGATCATTAAAGAATTTATAGCTTAGATGAAATCATTTTAGTTTAGGATGAAATTTAGGGATATATTTCAGGTTATCAGGGGGCAGTGGAATTATCTTTTATCCCACATTATATTCTATTTTACATCGACTGGATCTTGCAGCAGAATTGGGTACAGGTATATCAATTTGGGAACTAGGTCAGGGATTACATTATTTTTACGATTTATTGTAAATCTTTTTACATATATTACAAAGGTACGTGATATAAAAAAAATAAAGAAAGTTATCAAATACAATTTAAAAGTACAAATAAATATTCAGTCTTAATATTAATGAATGAAATTCTCATTGTATATTTAAACATAATTATCCCTAATAATACTTGTAAATCGAAGTCAAGATATCTTCTCTTATTCTAGTGTATCTTAAGTCGTAAATTATTACCGAACTTCGATAAACCTTTATACATTACTACATAGCTTTTTGGGGTATTAATGTAACATTATTGTTATTCTTTAATATTGGCATTTCCTCTCTTCCTTTGAACATCATCATAGATTGAGGTCCACGTATAATATGATACATTAATGCCCAGCATAGTTTTGCTGGCAATAAGCTTTCATAAAAAGAAACATTACAATCGATTATTTTTATAATCTTAACTAGAATTAGAAAAAAATTTGTGCAATTTACCTTTTCAATGGCAGAAGATACCTAACTGAACCAGGTAATACAATAATTACTTGATTCACCAATATTCCAGATACAACTTCTTCTGCAACATATTCAGGTTCTAACATTGATATCAACCTGAAAATTATAAATCTTTCATATATTAAAGCAATGTAATAAAAACTAAAGCTTTGTAAAACTCATTATATACCTGGGCCTTACTCCATAAAACATGCCTGTGTTAATGAAATAGGGACATACTAATGTAGCATGAATTCCATCGTAACCATGGGCCTGAAAATATTGCAAAACCTTATCTGCTTAAATATCACTATGCATAAAAAAAAAAGAAAAGCATAGCAAAATAATTCCAAAGTATCCTTACTTTAAGTTCAGTGAAGAGACTTTCATGATAACCGATAGCCGCAAATTTGGTTGCCGAATAATCAGTGCAATTATAGGTACCTAGAAGTCCTGCTACGCTTGCCACGGTTACGATATGGCCGTGATTGTTTTTCATCATATCTCTCACAAATGCTTTGGTAATCTGTTAAATATAAATGTTGTTTAATACCTTCGATTGAGCATTGTCTATTTTATCTTACCCAATAGTGAGACAGAATGTTCACTTTATAAGTACGTTCGATCTCAACATCTGGTAATTCCCAAAGCGTTTTTCCGTACACGTAACCCGCGTTATTTATCAACAACGTTACCTAAATATCAAAATTATATCAGATCACTTATAATTTATTATCTATTATTTATTTAGTTTTATTTACCGAACCAACTTCAATCTGCACTGTCTTCGCCAACCTATAAACTTCTTCTCTGCTCGTGATATCGCAATAGTAACCCCAACATTTTCCTCCATTGCGTCTAATCTCCTGGACTGTATTCTCTAGTCCTGAAAATTTATAGAAACATAAATAATTCGTTTCTATTTTTATTTTTTCTTCGCGTTAGATTATATTAAAACTTGCCGTCTCTATTAATATCCCAAATAATAATACGAGCTCCAAGCTTTGCCAGCTTGATCGCAATTAATCGTCCGATTCCACCTGCACCTCCCGTTATCAGGGCAACCTCTCCTTTTATAGACTTCGCACGATAACGTCGCGGAATTAATGTTAAAATGATCGCCTCACTTATATAAATGAGTGCCATTCCCGTAAATAGTAAAAGATCGTATATTATTGTGGCCCATCCTGACAGATCCATTTATACCCTTGAATCACAAGATAATACATTTTCCTAATTTAAAGCTACAATGAGGAAGAAACTAAAATTATTCAAGGGATTTTTTCTACAAATATTTTAAAGCAGTAAATTTCCCTAACCCAACGCGCTACAAAAGTTAGACATTCACCAAAAAATTGCAACATCGAATGTGCGATATTTCTTCATTCTCAAGCAAATTGGCTCTTTCGATATAGTTTCGTACTATGTAATCTACTTCTTGCATTCGTGATACCTCTTTTTGTAAACTGTTGCATGTTCAATTCTAACCAAAGTTGCATACTCGATGAAGGACCGGTTCTTTTGCTTTTTTTCCAATTTCTGTGAGAAATAGAAATCATGTGGCCTGGTAAGTTTCAGTAGTGGTCAGAAATTACGTGTATTACGGTATTCTTGCACGAGTAGTGGTATGCCGGTCTACGAGCCACCGATTTGCGGTTACTGATGTTGTTATGTCCGGTCAATGCACTAAGCATGCGCGCGCGCTCCCGCGCGGTTCCTTAACAGGGATCATGCAAGGATGTATCGTTTATACAATTTATTCTATGATCGTCGTACACTTCTGGCTGAATATTTATTGCATCGATTATTTGCGACGGAGAATTATTTCACGCGAGGCAAAAATATAGGAAGTACGTTAGTCAACCTGACTTTTTCTGTTTCTACTTTATTATCTCTTATTTGTTTCGACCGCTTTTCATGAAGTTAAAGTCCTATTTTCATCGGAATTTCGTTTGCGAGTGCGAGTGCCCTTAGGTAAGCGCGAAAAGAGTCCTATAAGCATTAATTCAAACAAACCATTTGGGATGGCGTCTAAAACCGTTTCTACTTGATAACATCAGAGACTAGTTTGTTGAGAGAAAGCCAGCTTCGTAAATATGGAAAGTTATATGTGAGAAATACTAGGAAACACAAATTTAGGTTTTAAGTTTTTGATTTAGGTCGTAACGTGCAAGGATTTTTGTCTGTGAAGAGAACTGCTAACAGATTCCACAGATCATTATACATTAACTTAGCTTTATGTTATAAAGTTAACAAAGCATTACGCTATTGTTAATATTATTTCTTAAATAATTAATATTTAATAATTATCACATAAAAATTTAACTTCACGCTCTTTTTTCCCCATCACTTTCAATTGACGTTTTGTTACAGCAGTCATTAATCTTTTTGTTTGTTTTTATTAAATACTTACGATTTTATTTTTCACCAAAGATAATTTTCCACTTTTCCACTATGTTGCAGACGAAGCGTCTTATTCAAGGAAACACATGTAACGGCTTTGTCAAACAATCGGTGAAGTTTTTTTTTTTAGTTTTTGAAGAAGTGTCTTGACGGTGCTGTTCTTCTTTAATGCGAGAAACGGCCAGAAGAAACGTGAACTTGTAAAATGATTCTCTTTCTGTATTCACCTCTGTACTAATTGATCGACCGGTGTTGACTGGCGCTGTATTTCTTAATGCGCCCGAATTGCAAGACCCGCGATGCTTTCCTGCGTGACTTTAAAAGCCTTGCTCAGTGACGTACTTGGTAACCCTCTTGGAAGGTAATGGAAAACGCTCTTACAATCCCCTCCTTTATGATCTTTGTCCTCGTATCTTATGTATAGCAGTAAACTCTTATTTGATTGCTGACCTTAGCTTTATAAAAGAAAAAACATTTTTAAAATTTCTCTACTGATCTATTTTTTGATATTTTAATGTAATATTGGTTTTATCATAATTATTATTTTAATGAAAATATGAGATTTAAAAACCAGGTTCAAAATGAAAAAGAAAAGACTGCTTCGACATTGAGGATTAAGGTGAACACGGGATAAAAGTACCAGAATGATCAAGACATTGTACACTACTGGATTTACTATAGTATGGTATCTCGCAAGATGCACGAAACATATGCTGCAGATTCCTAATACCCTAGAAAAGGCCCGTACTGTATTTTATGGTGAAAGTTCCTGCTGCCTCTCTCTTCCTGTCTTTCTGTTGATGTCCTATCATTTTGTGCCATGCGAGAATGTGTATTTCAGTTTGACCTAATTAATTGTATATAGAGCACGCATATAGAACATGAAAGAAGATGGTTGCAGAAATACAGACCCTATGTTTAGGAGGTTGATTAAGCGAGGGCTTTCTTCTTGTCATTGCATACTTTCAGGTTTAATTTAATACTATCTATACTTAAAATAAAATTTAAAATATGTCTCTTATATAGAAAATAACTGAAAGAAAGTAGTTGTTATAATTAATCTACTTTTTTAAATTTGTCTATATTAAAATTATTATCGTTTATTTTGCAATAGTCTTCATTAATACTGTACTTTCTGTCTCCATGAGAATACTCAGTTATTATTTTTTTAATTACAGTAATTAAGCGAATCACCTCCCTCTTTGTCACTGTCAAATTTGCAAGAAGACGATGTATTACAGGAAATTACACGAGGTTATTGATTTGCAATCCATCATGGTGTGTTATTTTCCTTTGGATAGAAAGTTATGAGATTCGAGTGAATCTTTGAATTACGTGCGTGCAATGCAGATGGAGTATTGTAACAGCCTAGCTTACACAATCGAATCGGAAATTTATTTCGTTCCTGGGTGACACATGTCTATGTACGGGAAAATATCGCACACTTCTCTGTTTTCGAAGATAATTCGCATACACGTACACGCGCACATCGTCATCTGAATTACAAGGAGAACCCAATTCACACGAGTGGTTTTCATAGTGTCAGTGTAGGAAGATAGCTGGAATCACCTTGTACCCGGTGAAAGGACCACATTCAAGATCTAGGTCAGTGGTACTCATTTTCCACAAAAGACAAGAAAGGTGAAGGAATGGCAATATTGTTATTACATCAAGGAGTATTGTTTATGATATATAGTGCACGAAGGAAAAGAGATTTCATAGTTTAATTTTTTCAATTTTCTCATTCTACTTTAGGATACTAGAGATAACGCCAACTTATCTTTAAATTGCCATTTCTAGGCAGGTCGCGTTGTTCCTGCTATCGTCTCGTTCATTAAAATTCTACCATTTGAAAAGATACTTTTGCTAGAAAACCTTGTACTTGATGGCGATCGCAGCGAGGGACGACTCACATGTTATGAAAAAAAGACGCAATATAATGACAAAGCAGCACGGATATTTCATTATCTATGCAACTCAATGCTCCGCGTAATAAGTCGTACCTGAATTAATGAATAAATGAAAGATAAACGACACCACGAACAATTGTACACTTTTATTGTCCTTTGAAACAGGCAGGATATAAGAAGTTTCCTTCTATCGCTTATGGTGTTCAAGGATTGATGCACGTGCAATGAAAACACGAACGTGTCTCGTAAAAATAATCTGTTATACCTGCTAGTGTTTCACAACACAAAATGTTATCGGTATAAATTTCTCTAAAAAAAAAAAAAAAAAAAAAAAAA